TGTAGCCAATGACGGCATTGGACACACCCTGGCAATCTGGAGATTGGGGACGACCTGGGTGGCATGAGATAATCCGTTTGATTTTAGACCAATTTATCTAACTGCATTTTCAAGCTCTGAGTTATCCACCACATCCTGCACCCGTGATTGCCGGCGGGTGGGAACACTAGTCATTGGGGCTCAGCGTGAGCTCTGCCCCACACCCACCCCATGGGACCATCCTGGAGCCAAGGGAGTGAGGCCTGCCCCTCAGCCCCACATCCTCCACCCCAAAGGATGTGGGTCGAGGGCTTGGCTTAGAAGCTTCTCTCTTCCTCCCCACCCTCGCCTTCCTGGAGCGAGGTGAGAGAGTCTTCATTTGCATGAGCCCCAGCGTTCTCCCACGATGGGCATCGCTCTGCGTGACGGCCGAATCCCACCTGAAGGCTCTGGGCTTTCTGCTGGCACAACAGCATCCAGCCAGTGCCCTGAAACGTCACCCCATGGAGCGGGGCTGCCTCGAGCAGGGGAAGGCGTTTGCAGACCCAGTCCGGTGGGGACGCTGGTCCTGGAAGAAGGGTGCTGGCAGTGGTGGGACCAGTCTGGAGAAGCCTTGGTGATGCCAGGGCTGTGCAGAGGGAAGGGATGCTCGGTGTCTCTTGGGCAAAGCCTGCAGTTGGGTGCACATCATGGCACCCACGTCCCTCCAGCACCTCAGCTCCAGAAACCTTCTTTGGGACTTTTCTTGTAGAAATTGCAGGAATTTCATCCTCCTGTAAGTGTGATCATGTGTAAATACCAGGTTGCCCTTCTTCTGGTCAGGGTGGTCCCAGCTGTGTCTCTTGGTGGCCACTAAAATGTGCTCTTAAGAAGAGGGGTGCAAGCCTCTCTCACATGTCCCAAAGCACCTCGACTACCCGGATCTCCTGGAGAGCACACGGGAGGATCTTCTCCTGTCTTCGTCTGTCAGGCAGTGATTCATATTTGCCCACACCCTGGTGCAAACAAGTTTGTTGTCGTAGGAAACAGTGTGGGGAGAGGTGCCAGCTCACCACTTCTGTGAGTGTGGAAGAGATCTCACCGTGTCACCCCCACATTTCCTAACGGCTTCTTTCCATCTGGCCAAGACTTTGCCCCAGAGTGGAAAAGAAAAGAGGGGGAGCTACCTCAGAAGAACAGGTCTGGGGAGTCCCAGGTAAGCCCAGGATCTACCTCTCCTGTGGCAAATATGGTTCCAGTAAAAACCACGGAGCAGATGCGCTCCCTGTCACCATCCCAAGTGAGTGCCATCACTTACGTTTCCCCCTCCACGTCGTGAAACACAGGGGTCTCTGGGCTGTCCCTGTGGACTCCATCTCCCCCTGCTGAAGCAGCCATACGGCCATGGCCATCACCCCGCCGAGATCCTGCGGTCCAGCTCACCCAGCGCCTCAGACATTTTTGCTGATGCATTTATGCGGGTGGATGCTGTGTTTTCTCAGCAATATGGTTTTTTGACACGTAGTAGCTAGGCTCATCATTACTTACCAAATGGAAAAACCCCTTTTACACCACGTTAGAAAACCCCTCTGCCCCAGCAAGGAGCATCTCCATTGCGGGGAAGATGGCTGGAGCAAGGCTGCAGGAGGGATGTAATGAGGTCGGAAACCATCCATGCTGAAGCACAGATGGATGGGCTGGAGGAAGGTGAGAGATCTGCACCGGCACAGCGCCAGGTCCGGAGCAGCCCTCGCATCAGGTATTGGTCTCATGGGACTTTCGGTGTGCTAGCTAAGAAGAAAACCCCAGGGGATTTTAAAGGCAGGTATTCTAGTAACAGCCAGCTAGCAGAGCCAAGGAGAAACTCCAGCTCTGCCAAGGTCTCTGGTTTGCTGGCCAAGCCCTACGTTCTACAGCCCGTCACCACACAGATGCAGTGGCAAGGGGCTCATGGGTCTGCAGGGACACACGGTGTCCCCAGGGAAGGGGAGCAGACGTCAGCCTGGCACCAAGAAGAGGGTCAGGATTAGTCACAGCTCCCTTTGCTCTGCTCAGGGACCCCGACTCGCCTGACCGCTTTCGCGCAAGCTCAGTGCCACCAAAACCGATTTTGCAGCAGCCTCCCATAGCTGCTGATGGGATGGGAGGAGAGGACCCCAGAACTTTTGGGGTCTGGGGGGTCCTAACTCCCTGGTATAGGGGGTATTTCAACTTCTCCAGGACACCATCATCCCCAGGAGACCATCGCCAGATGGCCAGGGCTCTCTGGGCACCCAGAAAAAAGGCATTGCCCTGCTCCCAGCCCCTTTCCACTCACCTGATACATGTTTTATTACTTGGGTACCATCTCCCAGCCCTCTTGATCCAAGACACTCGGTATCGCAGAGTGAGACAATCCACCGAGGACCTTGATCTCAAGTGCCCCAACTCACATCTGGCACTGAATTATTTGCTCATTGCTATTAGTCCCCCATCAAAACAGACGGCAGAGTGCTTCACTGTTGCAGCTACACTTTGTCCATCAGCATCTTTGTGCATTCATCATCTTTTATCCTCTCCTCCCTCAGCCTGACTAGCAGGAGCATATTAGTGATGCACCACACATCCAGCTTGGAGTTGAGAGCCATTTATCTCCAATATGAATATTTATAGTCAATCTGCCCATCTGCCCGGCACACCGCTCGCAATTTCTTAAAGGTCTTAAGATCTGAGAAAAAACCCCAAACAATCCGAACCAGGTATTTCATGGCGAGGAAAAAACATACGTACCCCAAACACAGCCAAGAGAGATGAGCAGGCAGAGCCCCGCGCTGCAGCCCATGCCTCGGTTCACAGAGCCGCTGCTGCAATGGAGTTAGTATCTGCTGCCGGGCTCACTATAAGAACAGGTGTACTCAAATCAGAGACGCTGCCTGGGGCCATGTGTTTCCTGTTTTTGGCTGAATGACTCTCTTTTTTTGCAATCGGAAAGTATTCAAAGCACCGTGTTGTGCTGCTGAATGCTTCGGAGACAGCCATCAGTTTACGGTTTGTATCAGAACTGCATCATCCTGCTATGGGTCCTTAAGCTGACCCCAAAAGAAGAGGAAACAACCAGCAAGAAAATAATCTCACGTACAGTAACAGCTTCCCGGGACTGTACAGCTCCTTCGAACCCTGCTACCGCAGCGGGGGCGGAGGCAGGCAGCTGCTCCCCCCACTTCACAGCATCCCAACCGCTGCTGCTCCATCCCGGTGCTGTGGGGCTGCAACCCCGCACAGACCTCACCCAGCTTGCAGCCGCAATGCCCAGCGGTGCCAGAAGGACCCAGACATTCTGGGATTAAGCCGTAACCTTGCTTTGGGCTGCATGGGATCGTCAGCAAAGAGGAATAGGGGTGATGGTTGAGAACTCACTGAGGGAAAGCCCAGTCCTTGTTCTCAAGGTGAGCACTCAGGGAGCTGATCCGGGCTTCGGTTCGTGCTGGCTTGAGTCAGGACAGAGTTAACTGTCTTCACGGTAGCTGCTATGAGGTGACGTTTTGGATTCGCCCTGCAAGTAGCACTGATAAGGTGTTTGTTAGCTGGTGCTGGGGGGTGCTGGCACCAATTCAAGGTCTTTCTCCACGCTGATACTGCAGCTGCGCTCACGACTTTCTCACTGCAAGCAGTGGCAGGGACGCACGGTTCAGACAGCCCACCCAAACTGACCGAAGGGGGATGTCATTCCATGGAGCATCATGCTCAGTACATAAACCGGGAGTGGGCCAGGGGTCATTGCTTGCTCGTTTGCTCGTGCATTAGATAGTTAGCTGGTGAGTCGGTTGGCTTTCCCGGTCGTGCTGTGACTCGT